AATTTGCTCAAGTCATTAGCAAAACAAAACAGTCCACTTGAAAGTTCAATCTTCGTCGTCCGACTCAATGGTGTAAGCCCTTTGTTTCCTCTGTGGTTCTGACTTCTCATTGACGTCTTTGGAGTAGAAATTGAACGTGCAACCTGTGTAACTCAGCGATGGAACAGGGCTGCCAGAAGAAGTGAAGGCTGCCATGCGGTACTGGAACTGCGAAGGAAAGCTTGGTGGAAATCCCCAACATCCAGCTGGCTAAAAACCAGGATTGAAGCCCATCATTGCCTGATGTATTTGGCCTTGTTGTTAGACGTGATGAATAGGAGCCAGTGGTGCTCGTTGGCCTTGGACTGCAAGTGCTTGATTTGAGGCTTCATTTGCACTGGTTTGGTTGGAGACCTCGTTTGGACATTTTTCGTTTTGCCCTTCTTTATATCCACTGATAATGTGAGACGGTTGTGTCCTTTGATTCTCATTTATTTCATCGTAGTCGTCTAAGGAAGATTCACGTGCATGGCCTGTTATTTCGCAGATGACATTGCGCGGTTGACCAGAATTCTGTTTTAACACCAATGTTTTCCTCATGCTGTGGTTCGTCAACTTCTTATCTGTCTTGAGACAGGAGGCCATGGATTTCATGATATTGCCGACGGTGTTTTGTCCCATTCGAATTTTGGTGTACTAGACATCTGGTGACTGAGGACGATTTATGACGCTCAGATAGAGAGGCCCTGTGGCCTTCATTCCCTCGGGTCGCTTAGACAACCAAAGCTTGAAGAGCCGCACTGGATCGGTTTTTCCGCCGTCGGTGCTGTACATAACCTGTGATGTAGTTCTTCGCCTGATTGACAGACCACCGCTTCATGTTTTGGTTGGACCTTTGGTTGAACCTACGACTTCAGTGCCGTCTTCTTGCCGTCTTATCACAAGGTCCTCCACGTACGCGTCGTAGTGTTCCTGGCGACCGTGTAAGCCAAGGTGTTCAGTCAGGTTTTCAAAGTTCACATTGATCAGTACCTTTCCATTGAAATCCCCAAGCTGACCTTTCTCCCACAGGGCAGATTCCTCGTCTGGTGTTAGTGGCTGTGCTTTGTTTGGTCTCTTACCCTTTCCTTGCTGGCGCAGAGAAAGTGCCGCGTTGAGAACTTCTTGTGAGTTATGGAACTCTCTCGATCGCACGATACTCAGTGAATAGTTCTTGTCCTTTAGATGACGTTCAATTGCACTTTGCATGATTTTCAGAGATTCTGGCGCGTAATCATCTCCGTCCCTTTTTTTCACTTCGGCGTAGAACTTTGTCAGGACCTTGTCTAGTTCTTCCGGCGGCATTGTTTCGATGCTGACATTTTCAAGATGGTGGGACTTTGCCCAGCTTTGGAACACGTTCATCCACTGTTTTGTAGAGCGGGACGTTTTTTTTATTCACTGCAACAGACTTCAGCTCTAGTATTTCATCGCTTGACACTATCGGAAACCTCGAGACGTCTACTTCATCAGTAGCGAAGTTTTGGCAACAAAAGTTGCCAAATTTGCCAAACAATGGCTTTTTTGTCTATCATTTTACTGCAATGTGATTGGTTAATTTAACAAAGCCTTGAAATCTGATTGGTTGTTTTGTTTTACTGTCCCATTTTCATTGGCTGAGAAAAAGATGCGATTTGGAGCAAAAAATAGAGCGATTCGTGAATAAATCGCACCATTGAGAGCCAGTCAGATTGCAAGGATAACCAGTGATTTCAAAATGGATTTAATAAATTATAACATGGATGTCCAATATCAAAGATGTACCTATGGTAATGTGCTGCTCTCTTATTTTTCAAGGTATGGGGCCTTGGCGTACGGACGTACGGAAAAAAATCACGTGACAGCCAAAACTTTTGAGATCGATGGGTTACCAAATTTTCTAAGGTATGGGGCTCCGTTTGCGTGCCTAAAGGCGCGCAGGAACTCTGCTAATATTCATCAGAGACATTTTTTGTGTCACAACAATGTTTTCCATGCTGGGCAGAGGGAAATATTTTCGTTCCCGGCAATGTTTCTGGAACAAAGTGTCCTCATTTGCCAGAGCGTTTAGTCACCAGATATGCTATCTCGTATGCATGTGTTACCATGGCACTTGATTCTAATGGACCTATCATACAATTCAAGTCCATGAGCCTCATGCAGAAACGGATGGTCAATGTATGTTCTCTGTATATTGACAAGTGAAAAGGGTTCTGACCATGCCAATTCTTCACCATTCCCTTGCCTGAATGTCCCCATGGCCAATTTTGTTGAACGATGGGTCTACCAAACCAGTATGTTTGTTCACAATATGATTTGAAAAGGATTTGAATTTTTCCCAATTTACCCTTCCAGATTTCTTTTTCAAAGAATTGACCAAGGAAAGAAACTAACATATCAAGGCAAAGAACATTCGCTCAAAAACTCTCTCCATTCTTCTGTCTTTGTCGACTGTGCTGCCTGACTACTGTTTCTCAGATTAGATGCAACAACGGCTGCATGAATCGATGGAAAAGAGATTATCCCAAATTCGTCTTGTTTAAGCCATGGAGTAAGCAAAATCTCTTCATCTTCGCGAAAATCCAGGGGTAGAGCGAAATCATGTGGTTTGAAATGCTTAGAACAGATCACGGAAATCTTAGATGGCTCTTACTTTTCACGTTTTGCTTTCACAAAATCGACCCATCACTAATTACGTTTCTCAGCTTCAGGACGATCATCTCTACATAAAACGGTCGCAATACCTCCCCATTCACCGTTAAACTTAGTTGCCAACCAAAATGACCGCATTTTGACGTTTTTTGACAAGCCATAGAAAATCAAAGATTTAACCAAGTCGAACAATTTTTGAGGCAAAGTAATCCATGAAGTACGTTTTATTGTTCCGCCGAAGAAACGTTTTTGGTGTTAGGTGCTTGGTGTTTGGTGTTAGGTGCTTGAGGTTACAATTTTGGTAAGCTTATTCGTTGTAAGGACGTCGTCCTTTCCACTGTGCCATTCGACTCAGGAGAGGAATGTCACTAACTACTGTAGATAATAAAATAAAGAATAAACAAATGCCTGATCAGATAAAAACATACTCGTAACCAAAAAATGTCGTTTTACCTTGATCAGCTGCATCTTTCAACATCCCAATGATGTCTCCATCGACTGTGTCATCAATAAAACGGTGTTCTAGACCAGGAAAAAGTTCTCGGGGATGATTAGGGGAGCAGATATAAATTTTCTCTCCCCGATCTGAAAATGTCGTGAAAGCGCGATTGAAGAGGGGCAACAACATCAAGCCGCAGAGTTTGTCAAATCTGCGGTCTTTAAGACAAAACTGAAGAAGGAGTAGTTTGTCTCGTCTCTCAAGTTTCTGGTAACAGGAAGGGACTTGCTTCAGTGTTGTTCTTGTACAACTGGGTGTAATGTTCCTTACAGTATCCCCTGCATAGCAAATAATGGCGTCCCTGACGTGACTGGGTACTGAAACGACAGGCAAATCAGCTGCTAGTAACACTCGCTGGAGCAGCTCTTTAGGTTCATCTTTAGACGATAGGTCAAAAATGGCTTTCTGTACTGTCAGCCATTGCCCAAGATGTGCCGTGGTGTAAACAACTTTTTTCTGCAGTAGCAAGTGAAACAATGGATCTCTTATCTTCTCCCACTTTGGGTCAATGGAGCTGATATCTGGCCATGCCCTGCAAGAAAAAAATAAGCGTGTAATGTAGTAGTTCCCTGGTTTAGATACCAGTATGGCAAGCATGGCTCTTTCTAAGATATACTACAGCCTAATAGGCATTTTTTAATTTACATTTATTTCTCGGCGCAATTTCCGCCGCTCTCCCGAGTCTGATCTTGTTCCTCTCCCAGAGTACCGAGTGTGGGCTCAGTTAACAGCGGCTGCCAATCAAGCCTAAATAAACTGTGCAAAAGGTAACTTCGATGCACTACATACTCCTTGTTTGAATACGATAACATTTTTCAAAAAAGTCTAGATTACCAATAAACGTTAAAAGCACCTTAAACAACATGGGTCCAACACTACTAAAACATATCATTTACCAACAACCAGTGATGACTTCTAAGCATACAATTAACAATGCACAAGTCACGTGAAAGCACGTAAAAGGGACAAGATTGAACGACTGTTTTGTCTTTAAAGTTATATTAATCCAAGCGCATGACAGTTATTAACCGAGTCTTTTCCCTGACAAAATAACACTCACTTGAAGATGGATGTCCTTGGTACGAAAAATGATTTCTCGTTAATGGCTTCCAAAATCATCATGGCATAGGCTTTGGGTATGGCCTCCTCGAGAAGACATCTGTTCCATAGTAACGACTTGTCTGTCAGCTGCCGACCACACGTCTCCCGATCCTCTTGATCCGCATTTGGAGATTTGATATAACGCCTGTTCTGACTCAAAGCAAAGAAGCCGTTAACGTGTACTGGCAAACC